GCACAATCTGTCAGTTGCAAAACAGGGGCTCCGAAGCTACATGCGTGCAACGAACGGAGAATCCATCGTAGACGTAACATTCGTAAGTCAACATCTGTCCCGCTGGGTCCAGGGTTGGGAAGTCCTAACGGGGGTTGAAACCCTATCAGATCACCGTATATCCGGTTCCGTACTCTCGCCCCGTCATCGTATCCGGAAATCAGCCCGAGTTTGTTAAAACTAGGCCCAACCTGGGCCCTTAGAAGCCTAGATAAGGAGCAAGCGGAACTAGCCATAACTGTTCAGGCTTGGCCCCAACCAGAACCTATAAATACCGAGGACGAGGCAATGTGGTTTCGTGACGCTCTGACGTGCATATCCGACGCCGCAATGCAAAGAAGCCGCCCTGGACGTCGCCACAAAGTGTATTCTGGTGGTCGGTGGAGCTCGCCCAGCTACGGGCTGTCTGCGTTACCACCCGTCGCCTTTACACTAGGGCTCCAGACACGTCCCCTATGTGCCGAAGAGGAAAGCCGAACCCACTGTGCATTCCGAGAGGCTAAACAGGCGCTAAGAATTGCGATTGCTGAAGCAAAAAAAAGGGCATGCAGGACTACTAGAGACGATAGAGCGGGATCCCTGGGGGCGCCCGTACCAGATAGTTACAAATAAACTGCGCCCTGGGCCCCACCTCTCACAGTTACAATGGAGCCAGACCTGCTAAGCACGGTGGTGGCAAAACTTTTCCCCGAGCGGAGTACGCCAGATCTGCACCAAGGGACGCGCATCGAACACGTTGAAACCATCCCTGAGGTATCCTCTTCGGAATTAGAGACGGCAATAGAGCGGATGTCCACAAAAAAAACCCGCCGGGGCCTGTGGCTCCGGGCGATCCTGGCCCTCACCCTCACCGCTGGTCTTGGCGTGCGATATCAGTGCCTCCTCACAGTGCTTGCGAAATGGCCACTTCCGTGCTGGAAGACTGGACGACTGGTGCTATTAAGAAAGGGCAAAAAGCCCCCAGAGTCACCCTCAGCGTATCGCCCAATAGTCCTGCTAGATGAAGCTGCAAGCTGTTCGAGCGGATCATTGCCGGTCGTATTTACAAGCACCTAGAGTCTTGGGCCCTAACATACACGAAGCGCAATTCGGGTTTAGAAAGAGGCGACAACATAGACGCTATCGCTCGACTTCGAGCAGTGTGCGAAGAGCACTGTCCCGCGGTTGTGGCCTTAGCAATATCGTTGGACGTCGCCAACGCTTTTAACACACTGCCCTGGGAAAATATCGAGGCAGGCCTCAAATTCACGGGCACCGGAGTACATACAAAAGTGTATTGCTCGTATCTTACAGGACGCCGAGTCGTTTACCCATCTAAACATGGTCTCAGGGAGGACTATCAAATGCGGTGTTCCACAGGGCTCCGTCTTGGACCGCTGCTATGGAACATCGGCTACGACAAGGTACTCAGGGCGGAACTAGTCGCGGAGTGACAACTTCTGCTATGCCGACGACACACTCGTGTGCTTGTGGGCGGATTACAAGGAACGCGATTCGCGCAACGCTGGAGTACCAGAGTTGTGTCCGAGATTAGAAAGCTTGGTCTCACAGTCGCCCTCCCAAATCGGAGGCGTATGTTTCCACGGCCACCGCAGAGCGCCACCACAAGGTGAAAGCATTATAGTCGGCGGAGTATCTATCCTGATCGGCTCCACACTCAAATACCTAGGGCTTGTCCTAGATCCTCGGTGGACGTTCAAGGCGCACTTCCGACACTTGCCCCCAACCTTACTACCACAGCAGGTATGCTCTCCGCATAATGCCAAACCTAGGCGGGCCGGGTGGAGAGTGTCGCCGCCTATACGCTAATGTAGTGCGAGCGAAGGCATTGTACGGGTGCCCAATATGGGCGGATAAGCTGAACCGGTACAACAAAACCATCCTCAGGCGTCGCAGAGAGTATCGCAATTAGGGTCGCGAGGGCGTACCGCACGGTTTCGTATGACGCAGCGTGTGTTATAGCCGGCACCACACCCTGGCACCTCGAAGCGGATGCCTTAAGCGAAGTTTATTGAGGAGGGCCGAAGCCAGGCACAATGGTAATACCGCTCGAGCAATCAAGTCGTGGAAAATTTCCGAAGAAAACGAAGCAAAGACAGTGGGCGAAGAACCTCCGGCTGGTTCTCACCATCAACGCGTTCAGACCACTTCGACAATGGGTGAGGAGGCGGTGGGGCCGCCTCAGCTACCGACTCGTGCAGTATTGTCCGGACACGGCTTTTCGGCAGCTATCTCACAAGGTGTCGGGCGTGAGAGCACCAACCTGCCACCATTGTGACGCTGGTGTTGTTGATGATGCGCTCCACACCTTAAAGGATTGCCTAGCATGGGAGGGTGGAAAGGAGGCCTCTCTGCGTGCTACAGGGCGAGGACGCTACCCTCGATACTTGTGAGAGTAGCAGTTACAAACACGGACAGTGACGGCATGTGGAATCTTCAAATTCTGTGAAGCCGTCATGCACAAAAAGGAAGAGGCGGAAAGGGCCAGGGAGTGATCCTGCAGCCCACCCGCGTCGCCGTAGGAGACCACACGCCGCCGTTGCACCGTGCAACCCCGTGTGTAATCCTGGGCACGCAGTTGCTCCAGCGGGGAACAGGGGTCCATGCGTCGAAAAGAAGGGGATGCTGACCTCCCTCAACATCGTGCCCGACCTCCCCAGCTTTATAAACAGGGTGACTTGGCCGATGTGAAAGGCCCTTGCTGTGCCAAGGTCCATTCCACTCTTCGTGGCCGTAGAGGACCGTGATCTAACGGCTGATCGCGTGGCTGGATGCGGACAAGGCCACGCTGTTACCGTGTCCTGCCCCGGGCGATTGCTGGTGCCGTGGGGTTTTAGTGGGTAATACGCGGACGATGTAGCCTTATATTTTTCATCAAATTCTATTGAAGAGGCATCATCACGCCTAAATTCGGCTTTGGATTATTTGGGTGATTGGTTAAATGATCATGGTCTCTCTATTTCTGTGCCCAAATGCTCGGCAGTCACATTAATTACTACAAAATACAAGGTTCCACGGTGTAACATTTCATATAAAGGGTCCTTGGTATCGTGTTGTAAGCAAGTAAAATTTTTAGGCCTTATTTTAGACTCAAAGTTAAACGGTGTTCCTCATTTTAACCATGTGATTAAAAAAAGTGAGAAGGGTGTTAATGTTCTCCGTTCATTATCTGGTGTGAGGTGGGGAGCACATCCCTACTCGCAAAAGCTTTTATACAATGCTGTGGTACGAAGTCATTTTGATTATGGCACCTTCCTTTTAGATCCTGGCAACAAGCAAGCCCTTGATAAAATTTCCAAAATTCAATCGAAATCTTTACGCATCATCCTTGGTGCTATGAAATCCTCTCCCATCAATGCTCTCCAAATAGAATGTGTTGACCCCCCTGTATTTACGTAGACAATTTTTAAGTGACCGCTTCTTCATCAAAGTCCTTCAATACTCTTCACATTCCATCTTGTCCAAATTACGTCGCTTATCTAATCTCACGATGCCATCTAGTACAGGTAATGTTCCATGCCTGTTATACAGTTTTAATAAACTTTCTCGTCTTCCTAATCCTATTGAAAGTTTCCCTAGTAATCCCTTGTTTTTAAATAGTTATGAATCCCTCATTTTTGATCCTAAAATAATTTTAAACTTTGGAATTGAAAAAAAATCCACCCAAGCTTCCACTTGTTTTCTGGAAAAAATTTCAAAAGACTGGCAGGGTTGGTTACCGATGTATACTGATGCTTCCAAGATTCCCAATAATGAGTACATCGGTGCGGCTGTATGGGTTCCTTCATTCAAAACAGTATTGAGCTTTAAACTTCCTCCATTGACCTCCGTTTTTTCAGGTGAAGCTTTTGCAATCCTAGAAGCGGTTTTTTATGCTGAGTCCCACAACCTAAATAAAGTTACAATTTTTTCCGATTCTCGCAGTTGTTTACAGGCAATTCTTTCCAATCCATTCAGATCTAAAAAAAAACATAATACTATTCTAAAAATAAGAGAAGCTTTGTTTAGGTGTAGTAAAAAAGATATTCATATTGTACTTTTGTGGATACCTAGTCATTGTGGTATAGCGGGTAATGAAACTGCTGACTCTTGTGCAAAAGGTGCTATTTTCTGCGGATCTTGTCAGCATCCCAACATCTCGGCCCACGACCTATCAGCTCTTGCGTACTCCCACCTTTTAAAATCCTGGACTATTGATTGGCAATCTTCTAAAGTAAAAACTGGCAGGCACTATGCTAATATTCAGTATTCAATCCCTTCTTCGCCGTGGTTTTTTAAATATAAGTTTTTAAACAAAAAGGTCACGTCTATAATCTGCCGTCTTCGTATAGGGCACGCTTGTACTCCCGTTCATCTAGCCAAAATTAAAATTAAAGACAGTTCTCTCTGTGAGTGTGGTATGGACGAAGGCTCGACAGACCACATATTTTTTAACTGTTCTTTAATTAATGACTCGTTATTTGACCATCTTTCTTCAGATTTCCCTCGTCCATGTAACCTTAACTCCCTACTTTCCCTCCCATCCAGCTCGATCGTCAATATTTTAGGGAAATTTATTTCTGTTAATAAATTAAAGTTATAAATAAGATTCTCCCCTCCATACCTTGTAATAAAATGTTAACCTTTTGTATATATTATTAGATGTCTGTGTGTGTTGTATTTATTGTGATGCCATTTTTGTTTTGGGTAACTCTGCTTAGATAAAATTCAATCTAGTAAAATTATCAAATCTATCCTCACTGTGTGAAGACTTAGAACGTGACATTGGCGGAATTGTGATTTACACAGATGTCGCCATTATAAATAAAGTGAAGTGATTTCTAGACTCTGGCGACTGGCAAGTGGCAATTTAAAATAAAAAAAAGTTTAAAAGGAGGGCAGCAGAAAGCCGGTCTAAATTATTTTCATACCTATTTCCAATTTTCTTTTCACGATAAACTTAAATCTCTAACTTAAGCAAAATGAGTGGGTTAGTAAGAACGGCTCACCGAATTTTACATAACTGCGTGAAAAATAGCAGCGTAGCTGGTGCAGTTGTAAGCAGAACCCAAGTTCCTGTGAAACGTGACTTCACTAGAGGAATATGGCACATGAGTTGTTCTAAACGACTGGACAGTACATCAGCTTCCTCAAACCTGCTTCATCACTCTAACACATGTGGCTGTGGATGCGGTCTAAAGGCTCTTCATACGAAAGGTAATTTAACTTTTATAGGTTATGATTGCACCACACTGAGCGAAATTTTCAATGTGAACAATTAAGATTAAGTTTTAAATTATAATCTATAAAAGTTCTACCTTTATATTATTATTCCTTTATCTACGAACATATATTTTTCTTCCTAATTACAAATCATTTTAACAGATCAACAAGACCAAAATGCTAAAGCCAAACCCCTGGGTGAGCTCCTGTACTTCCTTCAGTCAGTTTAGTTCTTTAGAAATAAGTATGTCTAGAATATTTTTAACTATCCTAGATATACACTATTTAACCAACTTCAAAAAAAGGAGGTTATCAGTTAGACCTGTATGTATGCAACATTGTTTTAATTGGTTAATATTTGAGTATGATGATCTATTTAGGCTAAATTTTGCAGGCAGGACAATTTTTGCGATGATGTAAAAATTGTAGTGATAATTTGTAGATGTATGTAATCATTTAAATAGAAGATCATTTTAGTGCTTATAGATATTAGTAATATAGAACTTTTTGAGTGATCAGCAAAAGTCATATTGTTTCTGTTTAATAGCATCAAATATTATTGTATTGCTTTGGACAATAACCCTTAAAAGTTGTTTACAGTAATTTACTTTTAATAAGTAAATCTTATACTTTTTGGGGAATATAAAATAATACTTGCATCCAGAATAAGATCTTGTTTCTTATTTCTGCATTAAAGTATTATACAAATAAATTAATTTCGTATAACTATTAATTATTAATTTACATCGTCCATTTGCACCAAATATACCTAAATACATTATTTTAATAAAAATATGTAAAATCTACTACAGCAGGTACACTAACAACTAGTAACACATAAAAATATCTTATAAATATAATTATGTAGATGTTGAAAACAGATCACAAGATTTCATTTGCTGTAACCCTTTAAAAAAGTTGTCATAAATATTGTGGTAATTAAAGTGGTTATGATATTAATGTTATTTTAAACCCTTGAGTTATTGTAATATCACCACTATCTTGGAAAGTATCGACTATATTTAATTGATATATACACAAATAAATGTTTATTCAGGTGAGCGTGAGCTTGTGGAGTTCCTTACTGAAGAGATAGTTGCTGAGCGTAAGGCACAGAAGCTCAAGACTCTACCTTCTGAAGTAGAAGGGTTCAGTGTGAAGGGAGATGGAGCAGAAGTGGTGCTTACCAAGGAGCTAAAAGATGAAATGTAATCATATCTTATTCTTTACGTAACATGATATTTAAGAATTTAAAAAAACATGTGAAACATTTTATTAGAATGAACAATACTGTCTAAAACACTATTAAACAAATTTTAAATTTGATTGATAACATTATTGCAGTAAACACTAGTCAATAAATCATATATGACTGTTTTGTATTAAATATCATGCACAACGCAGTGAAGTTAAACAACTTAATAGGTATCAGATGATATTTTACTGCCTTTAGGAAATATTCTAACTGCCCCAATAACTTTTACAGTGTTAAAATCACATTCAATGTGAATCATACAGTGGATTCTGAGGATTTTGGTGATGATGTACAACAAGAGAAGCAGGAGTTTGCTGAAATGAGATCCAAGCCCCAATTTGAAGTTGACCTTGTTAGAGGAGCAACCACGCTAGGGTTTACTTGCTCCTTCTTACAAGATCCACCAACCACAAATGCTGAAGAATACAGTAAGTTTATTATTTCTTTACATATATTACAATGATGGTTTAACACCAAATAAACAAACACCGTAGAGTCAACTCATAACATCTGCTGGATTGATAGATTTAGTAGTAAACAAAAAAAAAATCTAGAAGAATCCTAGCATCCTAGTATCTTTACAACCTATTGAAAAGTTTGTGCTAAGGCTTCTGGTTATTTGAAATGAGTGCTACAATTAAATAAAATACTTCACTGTATGTAAACTCTGCTTGCTAAACTAAAACTTTTTTTTTTCTGTCACTCAAATTGGAAAAATTTAAACAATCTTACCTTTTGTATTCTGGTAAAATATATTAGATATTTATACTACTTTTGAGGAATACTTAAATGATCCTAATCCTTGGGATTGATTTGCTCCAGTTCAAACAATTTGTATGACAAAACTCGGCGATTAAAAAGAGTGGCGGAAAGTTTCTTGCCAGTTCTACTTACCCGCTCTACGCCCTTGACTTGCGAACAGGTCTTAAATGTAAATTTACAATTAATTTAACTTCTTTCTGACAATTCATAAGTGTACTTGTTTCCCTACATGAATAAAGATATTTTGAGTTTGAGTTTTACAATATTTTTATAAATTTTAAGATTATTTATTTTAATTCGTCAAAAAATGGTACATAAAAGTAAATCCAATTTTTATTTTCAGATGACATTTTTGGCATTGATGAAGTTACTCTATACAAAGGAGAGTGGTCAGACAAAGTGTATGCTGTTGCTGGCGATGTGCTGGATGGGGTCTGTAATTCTGTATATTTTCGTTTATTAAAGTATTACATCAAATAGAGTAGTAATATGATTTTAATTTTATAGCAAAACAAATGCTTCATTTAATTTATTCACCAAAGTTATATACTTTAGCATGAAGATTAATGTTGATTATAGTGACGTGACAGGATTGTCAACATAACACAAAAATTAATTTAGCACTGCTTGAAGCTTAAATCCCTTAATGGTTTTCCTTGTGGACAGACTTTATTTGAAGCTACCTAACTCAATTTTCACTTAATTTAGTAACCTCAGTTTGGTGTATTACTCATGGTTCTACCATCGATATCACGTGTCCTAGGATCAAATCACGTTGACGATTTTTCTAACCCCACATCGCCATACTTGTTTCCGTTTCTTACGGACCTCAGGTGCCAATTGTGGGGGAAATAATATGCATAGATTTGAAGCTTAATTCATAATTAATGTTCGAATTATTCATTGAAGTGCAACATTTTTCTTAAAATTAGTTTGTTTGTTTTTTTATTTAGCGTTGACAACATATTTGTATACTATATTTTTTCTTGCTTGCTTCTCAGTGTTCTACTGCTACATAAATTAAGCTTATTCTTTTTTATCTATTGTGATAATAATTTGATCATATTTTTGTTACAGTATCTTTATGATCTATTAATGAATCTACTAGAGGAGAAAGGAATCAGCAATGAATTTGTTCAAAAAATATCAGATTTTAGTACTGCGTATGAGCACACTGCGTACATCAACCTTTTGGAGGGAATTTCCAAGTTTACCATTGGGAAATAATCTAGTTTAGTCATAGACAACATAATATGTGTGGAACTTTAATTTAAAATGTTTTTTTATTGATACTAGTAAGATATTCTTTATTTCAACTGGCTTCTATTAAAAGTAATGTTAATATGTATCAACAAATAGAGCTTATGCCTTTTTATGTTAACATATAAAGTGACAAAAAATATTAAATTTTATTAGTGTTTAAGTTCCACAAAAATTTGTTCAAAAGGATATTAGCATTTAATTTGCTGTATACAGCTTTAAAGGATATTTAGTTTAGTTGTATGACATGATGTTCAATTAGTTATTATGTTAGTTCACAATAAAAAATTCAATAAGGTATTTGATTTTTTCTTTAAAAAATATATGTTGCTATTCAGCTTGGATATTTTATGAAAGTTTTATGTATTTAAAATGGAGTGGGACTATTTAGATGTTGCCTAAGATAGGAGTTTTTGAAGCTCATAACTTAGAAATTTAAATATAAATAAATTTAAATCTTTGATTGTGCTAATCTTATGCTCATTCAAATCTAGGATTTGTAAGTAAATTTACTGAAACTCGGAAATTTACGAATTTTGCTGACTTATTTGAATTTCCTGACGATAATACTTTAAATAGATTTTACCAAAACAAAAAAAATACCTATGAAGCCACAAACCGGGCAAAATTATTTGTTTATTTACAAAATTAATTCATCTATTATTAATGAAGCTATTTCAAAACATTATTTTTAAATTGTGGCAATCAGCTGTTACAGGAAATGAGTAAAAATCATTATCTCTCTTTCATTTTTACTTCTGACAGGACCGTGACAATATATAATAGAAAACATGAAAACTGGTCTTGCTAAATGGACCAATAGCTGTTTAGTGCAAAATTTCATCGACCAATAGAACTTTATCAATAAAGCAAAATGTAATGTGAACATAGTTGCAAGTCGCCCCGAAATGTCAAAACTTGAACGTGAAGCTAAGGCGTAACAATATGAGACGCAAACGAGTTCTGCTTTGTCCTGCCAAGATGGCTGACGTGCGCGTGAAAAAAACACCCAACAATTTATATGATTTGTGTTTGACTAGTTTAGTGAACTATTTGCAAAAATCTAAGTGCGAGAAAAATGATTTGCGATCGCTGCCAGATAGCATCCTCATGGATGTTTACTTTAGGGTGAGTAAATTTACTCTTATTGCTCACTTAATATTAATACAATGATTTCATCCGAAATTATATTATTTTGCTTAAAAAACTGATTGGCAATTGAAACGACGTATGAAAAACAGTACTAAGTATTGCATTCACGGTCATAGTCATACATTGTATTGGTGAATGGTGGATTCGTCAGACTCGTCAGACTCGTCAGTACTCAGTAGGCACTGATTGATTTGGGTAACTGTTAAATCACTTTCACTGTTTACACTACTTATAATGTAAGTGATAAAACACAATTGTTACGAATAATAATATTAATAACAAGTCTATAATCTTTTCTAAAAATGGAAGCCAAATTCACCTGTTTACAGTAGGTACAATAGACGTACATATTTTGGTAATTGTTTATATAAAAAAGACCTTGACTGTGTTTTAGTTGTAATTTTATAAAAAATCTAGAATATTTATGTGATCTATAAGATTGATATTATATATTAAAAAAAACTTGTTTCATAAATTGTGTATTGAAATAGTAGTATGTACAGCTGATTCAATAGTAACACCATTAAATAACATTGTAATCAGTGGCTGACAAACTTGTATATCTGGATCTTGAGGTCTGGATTGAACAAAGAGAATCTGTTGTAATTTACTGACAATGTATGTGATATGTATGGGTTGGCATGATTGAAATAAGTTGTTTTAAAACAAATGCTACAAACAGTTTCAATTGAAATCATGTTTTTATCACACTGGGGATTTTATGTTATTAATTTGAGTTATTCACCAATTGAAATATAAATATTGAGGTTTTCCCTATTCATAGTATAGAATTCTCAGTTCATCAGTGATTCTCTGCCGTTATAGTCCCTTTGATGCCCGATTTAAATGTTATCCATTGGTTCTTTTTTGTAAATATTTAATTTTGATAAATATGTAAAGATCTATTGCAGAAATGAAACATAAAATATAGATCCCATTAATTAGAAATAATTCCCTAAACAAAAATCACACTTTTTTTTATTACACGTTTATTTTGAACTATAAATTTTTCAATTTTTTTTTTAAATCCAACTGGGATATATATAATAAATTTGCTGAACATTACTATGTATTGGAAAGTGATCAATGCTTGTACAGTCAAAATCTGTTATAACGTCATCGAAGGGACTACTTATATTTGGTTGTAAAAAGCGATAATTGTTACAGGTGATGATGTTTTTATTTAGTACCCAATACAATAGAATTCATCCGGGACCTTTGATTTTGGTCAATATAACCAGTATGTTGTTCTAAACAATTTTGTTGTAAATGGTTTTGACTGTATAACGTTACTATGTTAAATTTTTTAGTAATTATAATACTATCATTCTACACATAAAAATATTTGGTTTTTATAACAGATAACCTAAATGTTAGGTATAAATACCATATAATATAGATCATGTGTTTAAATATAGCTAATTCTTGACTTTGAATTTTATCCTAAGATACTAAAAAGTAATAATATGATTTCTAAACTTATTTCTGAATGTTTGTGGTAGTTCTGGCCAAATGTTACATAACTGGTTTGTCTATTTAGCTGTAACATATGGATTACTTTGTAGTTTTAATGGTAGGATAGATATTTTTTATGTAGTTTATTATACCTATTGTGTGTTAGTGGTTGCCAAGGTAATTAATAAGTCTTATTTACATAACCTGTGTAGCCTACAATGTTTCATGTTGAGGCAGGTTATATTACCATTTAAAGTATAATTTAAAAAAAATCTACATTGTAATAGTGTTAGCGGACTAACGCCAACTTGTAGCAGAAACCTATATAAAGCGTGGCAACACCGGCGTTGACTCACTTTTATTTCGAGACTTCGTGCGGAACGGACTTGTTACTAACCTAACCTCAGTAGATTTTAAAAGTCTGAAGTACCTACACGTTCTAATCTTTTGTGTTTCCTAATATCAGAATTGGGATTTGAACTTTTCGCTCACTTCTCTTTTGTTTTGTTTTGAGTAATCTTTGTGGTTTAAATTTTCCTTCTCTTTGTGTCCGTAATGTACGAAGTCACGAGTGATTAACATTTTAAAAGTGCTCTTTGTGTAAAAGTGTTGTTTGTGTTTGTCATGAGAGTGCAACAGTGTCGCATTAAATTCGGGATCGTCTAGTCGGCAAGGTAGACGAGAGATGCTTTGACAGAGGACGGCCGAACGGTTGAAGAACAGTCAAATCAATCAGGACACTGTCGTTAATGTGGGTCGTAGACCCCCCCTTGTAAATTCCAGAAGGATGATCTGGTCTTTGTTATTAAGAACATGCAAAGGTATGGGTTTCTGTTTTAAATTTTTGTGGTGCTAATGTGTTTAGACCACTTTGAGAACATACAAGTGTATGGGTCTCTGTTTTAAGTTTTTCTGGTGCTAATGTGTTTAGACCACTTAGAGAACATGCAAAATGTATGAGTCTCTGTTTTAAAAAATTGTCGCTTATGAGAGCACTAGGAGCCACTGTCGATACGACGGTGTATTGCAAATACTGAGTTGTCTTTATTTATGTTAAGTCTGAAGCTATCTAATTCTGTAATATTTGCTTTTTGAAAGATCAATGGACAGGGTAACCAGTCCCAAACTCACGATCTTCCTGTATAAATTGTAAAAAGATCAATGGACAGGGTAACCAGTCCCAAACTCACGATCTTCCTGTATAAATGGTAACAAGATCAATGGACAGGGTAACCAGCCCCAAACTTAAGATCTTCCTGTATGAATGGTAAAAAGATCAATGGACAGGGTAACCAGCCTCAAACTCACGATCTTCCTTTATGAATGGTAAAAAGATCAATGGACAGGGTAACCAGCCCCAAACTCACGATCTTCTTGAGAAATAAGTACACCTTTATACCTTATGGTGACACTAAACTTGTAATTGTTTACACAAGTCCTTTACACATGAAAGTGATAGTTTGTTTCAAATCTTGTAAGGGTTATAAATAATCTTTCACTCATTCCTTGGAGTCTGATACTTTAAAGTTCCTTTCTATCTTTCATTACTTTGATTGTTTGTATTAAACCAAGTAAATATGTTCAGCTGCTGACCAAATAGACGACGCAATACCTTCCCAGAACTGTAATTTTCTAACGTTCTATTCTACTCACAGACATGACAGTATAGACGCTGGGACATCAAATCCTGACGAGGACGTCAGGGTGTCAGGAGAGGCCGTGTTAGCGGACTAACGCCATCTTGTAGCAGAAACCTATATAAAGCGTGGCAACACCGGCGTTGACTCACTTTTATTTCGAGACTTCGTGCGGAACGGACTTGTTACTAACCTAACCTCAGTAGATTTTAAAAGTCTGAAGTACCTACACGTTCTAATCTTTTGTGTTTCCTAATAATAGGATATTAAGTATACATATAATGTTTGTGCTTGGTAAAGTCTATAACTTTCCAGAGTAGGAATATTTTTTAGTCTTATCAAATCTATCAATCAATCAATCTGCTAGTTGAAGTAAATTGAAATACAATAATGTGATTGAAGCTACTTCCTACATTCAGTACTACCACACAACCACTGTAATATTGTTTGTAGCTTTTATATACTTATATATTTTAAGCCTAAACTACCAATAATAAAGTTATTGGTATAATCTATAGGTATGTGTAAGGTCAATATCTTTGATAATCCAATCTTGATTTGGAAATTTAAGAGATAAATATGAAATATTTTGTTTAATAAGGCTGCTGCCTCGAATTTTGCGGGCAGCGGGGCGGCAGCGGCGGCGGCGCGGGAGCGGGCGATTGCACCTCTCGTTACCCGCCCTTGCGCCGCTGCCACGCCGCACAGTGGTCCATGTTCCTA